CGTAGCCCTGGGGCATGGGCTGGGTTCCATAACCCGGCTGCACTGGTACGGGCTGGTAGGGTGGATACTGGGCCCCCTGGTAGGACTGAGGCTGTGCAGGTGTTGCAGTTGGTTGCTGGGGGTACTGCTGAGGAGCGGTGGTGACCACTGTGGTGTGGGTGGTGGTAGCTATTACAGCTGTAACGTAACACAGAAACAGATGACAAATACAGTTAATTATCTGTGTAGGCTTTTCAATCAGTTTCAGTTTAAGTGGGGGAGTACAGCGATGGGAGGAATTGTTGAGCAAGGAAAAAAAGGAGGAAGGACAAAACTAAAACTAGCTTTGACCAACAAAAGCTAGTCTGGTCTGAGCTGATTGTTTGGCGAACCAGAAAAACATCTTCTAATGCTAGCTCAAAAATAATAATAATAATAATAATAATAATAATAATAATAATAATAAATTTATTTGTATAGCATGTTTCAACAGGCAGACATGACAAATGCTTCGCTAAGAGTTTGTTCCACAAATATGCAACAATTCTTAACTTAGACATCACTTCTATCTGACTCTGCAAACCCGGCAGTGACACAAACAAAACTGAGCAGAAATAAATCCTAGTAAGTTAACTTTTAACAAATTGTCCTGTCATATTAATTATATATTACATATATATTAAAATTATAACATTAATTTTACTTAATTTGCTGTCACAGAAACTACTATACATGCTTTTTAATTTTACACTGGAGGACTCAAATGTGTCATTTGAAAGGATGACATGCAGACAATATTCATATATATATATATTCATGCTGAAAAAAGTGCACCACCTGTGCTTTTTTATTCCAAGTTACACAAAGTACTTAATCTATATTTTTATTAATATTCTCATCAAAGGGGACTAAACTTGACTAGTAAAGGACAATGCTCTTGTAACCAAAGACATGATATAATTTATGATAAAGTGTCAAGTCTCTATCAATGTGTGTGTGTGTGTGTGTGTGTGTGTGCGTGCACGCAGGGACTATCAATGTTTCCAGGCCCAAGTGTTTCCACAAGTCTAAACCACTATGTGAAATTGTGTGTGCGTGTGTGTGTGTGTGTGTGTGTGTGTGTCTCACTCTCCCACCATGTGTTTTTTTTTTTCTTTCTAAGAGACAGGGAGTCATCACAACAACTTCCTGTAAATGATGTGAGATGGTCTCGAGTTTTCCCCCACTGTGGTTGTCGTGGAAACAATGAGTCACAAGAGGTGGAGCTCTGACATTCCTGGATGTGATCCCAAAATGCAACAGCCCGAGTTGGGGAGTCCACATTCCTCCTCGTGACTTAGCCTACTGATCTCCGCCAGAGTTGAGTTGCCACATGGAACAACCAACCTGAACATGCTGGCTGAGAAGACCAAACTGACAGGAAACGCAAGAATGTAGCATTTGCAACAGTGAACATGCTTGAGTGTCAACACACACACACTCACGCACACAAACACACACCCACAAATCAGGTGCTTTCCTCCACTGTGGGGAATTCATTTAAGAAGCGGGTTAAAGGGTGGACACGAATAGATAAGTGATATCTAGTCTAAGCTCTGGGAAGAGAAGACAAAAGAAGAAATCTGGCAGCAGAAATAATGGGTTGAAGGCAAAAAGGACATCAGAGACAGAATTAAATCCCACCCTGCTGTAATGGAGAGAACAGAGGATGCAGGCTGTTTTGACTCTGATTTCACAAAGCTCGTAAAAAAAATAAGGCGTGGAAATCCACATGCCAAGGCAGGGCTCCAGACTGCAACCATTTGAGAGTGTGCCACTTACAGTTTTACATGGATGCATTTGCGGGAGTAATCCCATCTGGGAGAACCATCCTGAAACGTGGATCTGCAGAGCCAAAGAGTTCCCGGAAGTTCTAGACGTACAATTTTTAAATGTACGCATTTGCGAGTGTAAATGACAGACGGTAACTACTGTTGTAAGAGTAGCAAAGCTCATTTGAGCAGCAGGTCAGTGTGCGTGGTGGGTGTGTGGTTGAGCAAGTGAGAGAACGAGCAGCAGAAAGCGGCGGTGAATGCGAGGGGAGGAAAAGGTTAGCAGTGAAGTTGTCTTGTGGCAGTAAATGTACAGCGAAGGTTACAGTTTCACCAAGAATGAACACCGCAGCTCTTTAACACCCAAGACGTTTCGTGCTACTGGGTGAAAGTAAAGTGAGTTAGCCCAAAAGTCAGCAACGACTTCGGCCCCTTAACGAAAACAAAGGCTCCCCTGTGCTTCCCAAACACAGTCTGGAATCCATGTAGAGAGACGGTTAGAGCTCACCCTCATCTAAACATGCTGGTTATACCTGACGAGGCGTCAGCTAATTGATACTGTTATTAATAAGCTAACGTGTGTCATCCTACCCTTTCTAATACAGTTCAGGGTCTTAATGCAGGTCGCTGTTCAGTAAGAACCACTGGTAAGTAGGGTAACATCCCTACTGCAGGTTATAGTATTATCTCATTATATCTGTGTGACTGTCAGATCCCCCATAATTACTTCTCATATATATAATAGACTGCTTTGCATTTAACTTCATGTTAAAGCTATAAGATGTAACAGTTCCACACAGAACCTCTAGACCTGTGTTATATATTTTGTTGAGTTGTGTTCTTACATTATCCCAAATATTTCCAACATTCAAACCAGGAGAAATCTGGAACTTCATTTTCAGGTAACGGTGCGTTTCCTTTCCTGCCTCTAGCTGCTATAACGCCTGGGTAACTCCCATGATCCTATGACACTTCATGACATCATCTTGTTATTGTTTTGATGTGAGCGAGTGCCCCACCGGCAAAAATGACATATTGTACGTTCAAATTATTCCTAATTTACCTCTGTCACAGTACAGCTCTGATCAGCTGTTGTGTAATTAATATTTAATATTTTCCAACTGGGTCCTACCACTCCAAAAGCACTACTGATTTTGACAAACTTTTTTATTTATTTGTCTGCCTCTGACAGCAGGACCTTAAAGCCGGCACTGTGAAATTCTTCTTCTCACTCTTGGTAATATTTTTGTCAAGGAAACGTCCCCTCACACTGAGTGGAACAGGCACCTTATATGGCAATTTTTACTTTGTTTTTAATGGAAATTATGTAAATAAAGCTTTACAATGTATCCCTAGCTCCAAACAGCAATTATGACTGATAACTACACTGACTCACCAACCTGTGGGATACACTGCTCACCACAGGAGACTATTAAAAAAAAAAAAACTTCCATGGCATGCCGAAAGCTTCAGAGCTCCGGACGGGGTTTACTTCACAAAAGGAAGCACATCTTTGTAACTGCTGTCAGTGTCACATATCTGTTGCATATTATTGAGGTTTGGGGAATGTTGGACCAGTTTGCACTCTGTCTCTCACAGTCTGTGTTATTACTAAGACCAAGCCTTTGCAGTAATGAAAGTCATGTGGTGGGTGGGCCAACAGTCCTCAAATAAGTCCCCTGATGTTGTTTTGAAAACTAGACAAACACTCCAACAAACTGGAAACCAAGAGTCTGATTTCTTCATTAAAACAACCTAGCCCAAAAAAATAATCAGGCACTGCATTTTACGTAGTGTGAGAAGCTGTCAACAGCAAGTCAGCAAGAGGTGGTTGTCTGCAGGAAACCAACACATGTGCAGCTACATGTTGCAGAAGCAACAGCATTTGGTTACATGCTGTTAATATTGCCTCCAACTAATACGGATACCTGGTCACTGCTTAGAGCTTGTGCGTTAGGGAAACATTGTTTTAAAATTGCCCAGGGCAGAAATTTTAGTTGCAGTGGTAGTTGAAATTTAGTTTTATTACCAGTTAATCTGACAATTATTTTCATAAAATGACAATAAATTGTGAAAATATTACAGGTACAGAGTCATTTGTCTGTAAAAAACAACAACAACAACTATTTTTGCTGCTCGACTAACAGATTTATCGACTGATCATTTCAGCTCTAAAATTCTAATTTGATGAAGATGCCACTGATTACGAACTCTCAAAGACATCCACTACAGTGAACACTGGTTACTGGTAGTGGCATCAATGAATAAGTAATGGGATACCATTGTCTATTGATTCAGGTGGATAGTTTGATATTTTATCTTCCACAATATAGAGAGGAGGTAAAATCAAGCAATAAGCATCAGTGATACAAATATAAACTTAACATGTATGATGTGTGGGTGGTTACAGCTTTCATAAACTGGCTCCACTCTGACAACATCTCCATTCACAGGACTGATCCAATCTATGCATCATATCACAGCAACTTTAAGAGTGGACACTATAGATAAAATCCTCGATGACAGTATCTGTAATTTTATCATAGTACATTTTCTGAAAAATCAATTAATGGTTAAAATAGCCAGATGGGAACATCTTTTTTTGGCTAATCCAGTGAATCAAAATGCCTTACAGATCAGTGTACTCCACTGCATTGATGCAGTTACTTTCCCTTTTCTTTTGCACCCATTTAAGTTTCTGTTTATCTTAACACCTGTTCAACCACTTGTGCGCTAACCTGCTGTTCAGGTAGCACCAGGATGTGAACTTATCAGGAATCGGATGGTGAAATCATAAATAGTACAACCAGACATATTAAAGGGATAGATATGGTATAAACAGTATGGCAAAAACATATCTGACGTTAGACAAAACCTGTATCATCTGCTGATATAAAGTCATACTGCACACACATGCTGCCAGTGAGTAACTCATGCCACCTCATGATGAAAAGGGTTGAACTACTCTTTTATGAACTTTTTTGTAACCTGATAGTTATTTAAGCAACGTTGGACTGTTCACATACTGTGAGGTAGCACCATAGTTACGACTGTCTGCAGAAGAGGAACTTAAGGCTTTACTGATTTAAAAATGTCAAAATGTTGCAGAAAGAAAAGCAATGTGTTTCTTCACAAGTAGTCACGCTGAAATATGTTCACATGCTGAGGATATAGTTACTAAATATGGAGACTATTAGGTGTGGACAAGGCAGTCAAACTATCTGTCAGCTTCTTTCCTCAGGCTGGAAGACTGTTCAATTCCTCTACAACAATGCATCATACAAATTAGTATTATTTTTATGACTCAATCAATTTTTATTTTGTTTTTAAAAGTAGCATACAGGGATCTTTACCTTGAATTCCTTGTGTCGTAAATGATAATAAAATAACCTTGAATCCTTAAAAAACAACATCACCAACAACAATGAGCAGTATTAACTGTTAGTGGAGGGCTACTTACGTCGTGGCTTGCGGCACATCTTGTACAGGCAGCAGCAGGGACAGACACAGCAGCAGATGAAGATGAGCAAACAGGTCACAAGGCCACCAATACCAAGGATCATGGGCATTGGTGAACTTCTATAGCCAAAATCATCACTAAAAAAGAAACAGAGAAGAAATTGTGCCAAACAATATTTATTCTGCTATTACCTTAAAAAAAAAAAAAAACAATATCTGTCACAACAACTAATGGAAAACACAAATTCGGTCTGTACCCGACTCAGAATTTCAGTCAAATCAGATTTGGCTGTTAAATACAAAATATTTGACTAGTGTCTTTTTTTCAGCCCCACACTAAACTTCTATATAAGCCTACGAGTCTCCTGTTAAACGTAAAGACTCACACCATGCCTTACTTTATCCTCTCTGATGGGAAAACATCAGATTTCCACACAGTCAAAGAAAGTAAAAGTTTGTCCAGTTATAAAATCCCAATGCACCACAGAGCGTCTTCAATCACAGTTAATGTGTGGCTCGTGGTCTTTTTGAGAGGTTACAGTCTGCCACGTAATGTGATGCAGCTAAAGATCAAGGGTGTCAAGATTTGACTGACACGCAAGCCAACTTGGGGTATTCCCGACTCATGACTCGAACCATTGTTTCTTTGGGGGGGGCCAGCTATCATAAATACAGATTATTGCCCCGTTGTCCATCTGCCCTTTTGTTTCTAAAATATTTTTAGCACAGTAGCACCCCACAGCTTCAAGCTGGTGGTCGTGCACAGGAAGTCACTACTTCCTGTTGCGCAGTCACTGTGCAACAGGCCGCAACAGCACATTTCTACAGTGATCACACAGGAACAAAGAGAAAAACTCAAAAGAAACCACTTAAACTAATTCTGTCTAATCATCTAACATGGAAATTTAAACTCTCAATGTCAACTATAGGTTGAGACAATTTATAATTTATTACAGAATAAAACAGAATAGAATACCAGTCATCTTGTTCATCCTTAGAAAAACGCCAGAAACTATCCTGACAGCAGTATCTGTTATAGCAGGAACCACAGCAAAATCCTATCCTGCATGTCTGGCTTGAGTGGTATTGGCTTAATGTATCTCTGTAGGAGTCACAGTCCTGGCTCCCCGCTGTAACAGAGCAGAGACAGACAGGAGACAGGAGACAGGAAAAGGTTAGTCTTTCTACCACTGAAGACAAAGCTGCAAAGGCAATTTAACTGTAAAGCACAAAGGGAGCTGGATGAAACACACATGCCACGTATAAAAGGCTTCACTCCATTATGAGTTTATGTATTAGCTCGATGGTCTAGAATAATGATTAGGTGATTCATCGATTTGTTAATGGAGAAAAAAACTCCTCTGTATCTATTTTTAAATAATTGTTTTATTAATTTTAAGCAAAAGCTCACTACTTTGGTCTTCTTTAATGTGAGGATTTGCTGCTTCATTTAATCTTGTGTTGAATATCTTTGGGGGTTTTTTGGACTGTTGGTCTGACAAAAAAATAATTGTAATAAGCTATTTACACTTTCACTTTTTTAATCGACAACATTAGTTATAGCTTTAGAGAATAAACCCTATAGTTGCAGCTATACAATACAATACAACTGATATGGTAAACATGAAAAATAAAAACATCTCCCTGACAACAGAACAATATCTAACTTTAATTAGTGCTTTCAAAACCTGCTGAAAGTAAAGCAGTGTAATACAGCAGTTCTGCATTAAATACGACATTAATAAACGTTATAGCGCACACTGTATATATATATTAATGGTCATTTTATCGCGTTAGATGTGTTTAAGATATTTAATCCAGCCTCGTTTACCAATGAGGGTAATTTAGTTGGCATTAGAGATCTTCATCTTGACAAATACTGAAAGTGATAAAGGGTTTTTCACGGAGAGACTCTTCTGACAACTTTATTTATATATAAAGTGATCGAATTATAGCAACAGAGCAGAGGAAAGAGTAAACAAAGCCTGGCTACTAGTTGGGCAGCGTTGTCAACCAATGTCGACCATGACATTGTACAATAGAGCAACTAAATCATGCAGTTGGTCTCCCTTTAGCCAACAGATGCTAGCAGCTATTTAGACGTTAACATTAAAAACATGGTGGGGGGAAGCCGACGTCACTGGCATCGCCCCGCAGTCAGTGTGCTCGAGCCCCCGGTTGCTAACGTAAGGTGGCAACGGCGAACGTTCAAAACACGCAGTAAACGCCAACCACCACACAAAAAGGGACATTTACCAATTAAAAATAAAAACTCACCAGACACACAAGGGGCCAGGGTCACGCACAGAGCCAACACAACAACGCTGGGCAGGCCAGACGCCATGGCTACTTCTAGACTCCCGGATTGAGTCAGGAAACAGTAGACATCTGCGGGAAACCGTCTCCTCCTCTCTGCCGTCGGAGCCCAACTGCTGCGAAGATCGTCTACAAACACAGTCGCTTCACTCAGGCGAAGTTCCGCCCATCCTTTTTGTCATGTGTTTTTTTTTTTCTCTCCACCCTCTTGTCTTGGAAGTTTAGACAGTATACTAAATCAATTTGTCCATAGAGTTACTGGATGTAGTATCACTGCCCCTGACGATAATTTCAGGATTAACAAAGCATGCTAGACTAGGTTAGTTTAACCCCTGTCAACTCCATCTAGACCAGTGGTTCCCGACATTTTTCCTGAAGGGACCCCTTTTCTATCATTGAGTACACCGACGACCCCTGACTAAGTGATTGTATGTTTATTACATATTATATTTAATGCATAAAGGACAACTAATAAACTGTACAATTAACCCCAATTCTGAACACAATAATTGCAGGAAGTTTGTAATAAAACGAGAGATTTTGATGAAGTTTGAGCAGATTATTTTGTGTGAATATTGATCAGAGATTAGTTTTCCTCATATTTTTCATACAATTATTTTTCTGTAACAATCAAATATATTTAATAGGCTTCTTGACAGAATCATAAATGTGATTGTTTGGGATTTAATCTGCATATATCTCCACATGCCATCCTCTTGCTTCTCCATGAATATTCTTTTAGATCTGCCCCTGATTTTTGAGCATAAGACTTTTACTTAGGGTTTTAGGTAGGCCTAACTTTTCTAAAAAAACTACTTTTTGTCATATTTGTCAGATAATCTGTGAAAACCATCCTAATGGCATTTTTCTTGGCTCTGAGTGGTTGTTTTTGTTCAGGCGTGGTGGATTCTGTATTTCAGGGTGAGCCAGAGAACCTGTTCAATTGCAGATTATCTGTTTCATGTTCAGGATATAGTGAAAGTTTCAGCAAATATGACAGAAAGTTATTATACATTTAGCAACATACACCATTACAGTGTCATCAAATAATCAAATAATAAAGGGTAAAACTATATTTTACCTCCGGGCTTCTCTACAAAATGAGTTAAGATTATCTAAAAATGCAGCGGTCTCTGAGGGACAGCTGCCCAGTTTGGCTGGTGGGGTTAATAATTGGTCTTTGCCTGAGGCGACGTCTCTTCATATTGCTGGTTTTATCAGTCCAAAACTCAAAGATACTGTATTCAACCAACTGGAACCAATAATTTTCAGAATTTACTTGATAAATAACTTAAACAATAAATTAATTTTTTTTTAAATGTTGACATTAAAATTGCTGTCGATTGACTAATACGTTTAATGAAGTGAAAACAAAATGAGTCTGACAATGATCAACAATGACATATTCAACAATGACATCTGTGGTAACAGGAAATAGAAAGAATAAGACATCTTAGTTTTTCACCCTCTCAATAGACCATAGGACTCCCCCACCATATCCTTTGGTTTGAATGGGTGCTGTGAGCTGCACTTAGTTATGTGTGTGGTTGGTAAAGAGCCTGAAAATAATACAAGAAGTGCATCCAGATGCTGATGGCGGTCTGATGTATTTCTGGTTGAGCTTCAAAAAGCACCTCCTTAATTTTAATGTGACCTGTCATTTCTGTTACCGACATAAAATGAATGTTTTACAGTGGTTAGTTTGAATAGTAATTATTATGCTTGATCTCTGATTGCTCTCGATATATATTCATCTGTGGATAAGATACTGTTCTGAGAGGAAGTGACAGACAACACTGTGGTTAACACATGAGCTGCAGCGGAGGCACAGATCCTCATAAATCTCAACAGTGTTTCTGATCTCTTGAGGGCACTGCATGGCGGAATAAGTATTAAGATTTTATTTTATTCTTTGGGACTCTATTTGTTTTATTTATTTATTTTAAGGTAGCATAAAGTGAACTATATCTAAATTTCATTCTACAACCTTGTTTGTGAATGATAATAAAATATCACTAAATATCACAATGTGAAAATACAAGTAAAAATGCATTTAAAATGCTAAAGTAAAGTAAAACTATCAAGAATAAGTACCCAAAATGGAGCACAGTGCCTCATGTCATTGTTCAGTAATGTTTATTTAGCATTTAAGATCCAGGTGGAGAATTTTATGGGTGGGTAGTTTAATCTATAACAGTGCATCATATTAAATAAATTGATCGGTTTTATTGGAACTAGCTGTCAGACAAATGTAATGGAGTACAAACTGCAGTATTTCGCTCTAACACTAGATTCTAGTGGAAGGAAGCATAAAATCTAAATACTCAAGTAACACAAAACTGTGCTTAAGAACAACACATGAGAAAAAAAACTTTACACCCCCTGCTGTCAGCTTTTAGACAGCATGTGAAAAGTCCAGTCCTGCAGGTAAAACTTTATAGCAAACAGAGCTAGAGCCTAAAGTGATCAGTAGAGGGCAGCAAAAGACCACATCTGTCCATGCTTAGAAGGCGTAACATTAGGACTGGGTCTGAAGACTAAACACTTCCTTGACAGATTCAGATGTCATATAAAGACATTTTATAGATCAAATATGCAGTCAGAGTTATTTGCTTCCTTATTCAGATGGTTGTTCCCTTACCGAAGAAGGGCACTATCGAGGTTATAAACAACCTCAGGCCTGTGGCTTTGACCTACCTTGTGAGGAAGTCTACACAGTAGTTCATTAAAAAAACACATCATCGAGGCAGCAGACTCGCAATGGACCCACTCCAGTTTGCATACTGCGCAGGCAGAGGGGCTGACGATGCATCCATCATAGACACCATTCAAAAGTACCATTGGCTGTGGGTTGTGTCCTCTCACCCCTGCCCTTCATTTTCTACACTGTTGACTGCAGGTGTCAAAGTCTGTATTATATTGGTAATATATACTATTACATATTATCATATACTGTTATATACTAGTAGTGCATATTCAATTGCTATATTATGATTTGTAATATGATAGTTATAAGTATTTATGTAAGTCTGTTTTTGCATTATAACCTTAACAGTCGAGAGATTCACATTTCTTTGATGTTGTTATGTTTTTTTTTCTTCTTCCCCATTTGTATCAATGAAGGTAGACCATTACTGTATGAAAATAAAAACATCTCAGACAATTTCAACAAAACTCGAGCACTGATGATGACGGATAGGTAGATAATAAACCTGCAAATGGGTGTATACTGTTTATGTATATTGAGTTTTATGCTATTGTTTGATAAGATAAGATAAGATATTCCTTTAATAGGCCCACAATGGGGAATTCCAATCTTACAGCCAGCAAAGTGGATAGAGAAAAAAAACAGTATAAAGACAGTATAAAAACAGTATGAAAAAATTAATATACATATAATATAATATAATATAATTATAAACACTGACAAGAAAACAAAGAGTAAAAAACCACAACAGATAACACAATAACACAAATACTAGCAGCAGTTGCACATGGGCAATAGATTGCACAGTAATTATTGTCCCTTGAATGAATGCATTGAATGGACGCACTGTGGAAAATTCACATTTGGTTCCTCTGTTGCAAATTTTGTTTTTAATGGCTTGAAGTTCTTCCACAACCACACAAGCAAACACACAGAATATAGAATTTTTTTATATACAGTCTATATTCAAGAACCAGTTCAGTTTCAGTGTCTCTTTTTCAACACCAGAGGTCACATGTGCACAGGAAATCTACTCAACACAACTAAAGCATTTAATCTTGAGCTAGAATTCAAGAGAATGAATGTCAAGAATTGCATCCATTCAAAAACACTTTCCTGTATCAAAAGTGAGGCACACTACAGTTGAAGGAGCATTTTGAGATGCTACCTTTAACACAAAATTGACAGACATACATCAATGTCCTTGTGAATTAACAACCCCCTTTGAAAATATCAGTAACATCGATGAAAGCGTATCGATTTATAAACAATATATGTAGGCCAAAACATATTAATTACATCATTCAAACGCCTGCAGGGACACGACCCTACTTTAAGATGAGTGATCGCATGAGTCCCTCACACACGGGTGAATATCTCAAATGACCTCTGACGTAACACGACACGATCTCGCGAGATCTCGGCCCCGGGTTGAGCTCTTATAAGCGCCCGCTCGTCCTCGTCCTCTTCGTTCGTCCTCAGTGCAGGATAACGAAGCAGTCTCCCTCCTCTTGCTCCTGAATAAAAGGGGATTCCTCGCAGAGTTTCACGTTATCTTAGCGTCGCTGCTGCTATCCCGTCCACTACACGACAGATAAAAGAGGATTGCGCGACCACGTGTGAAGTTTTTTTTAAAAAGGTACGTTTTTTTTTTTGGTTTGTTTAAATTGCATCTCGTCCTCATCGATCTTCCACTTCTGGTTCTAGGTTAGCTTCTTCTTGCTAGCAGCCTAGCTAAGGTTAAGCTCGGCGCACCGGCGAGCACCACGAGCGACAGGCAGGGTGAGACTCCTACCTTATAGTATTCTTATTATTAAAATAATTTTTAGCTCTAACGTCGGAGACTAGACAAGTCGTGACTCTTCCTCTCGTAATGTTTAATAACCGGTCAATGCTCTTCGCGACTTACCATGCAACATAACGCCTCTTGAACGCGTGCAGACGAGTCAATGTGTCTGAAATGGTCACGTTTTGTAACGTGAAATAGTAGTTATAGTGTGTGTGTGTGTGTGTAATGTGTGTATGTATGTTATATTATGAAGGCGTGTGTGGGTAAAGTTGTTTTTAATCATGTGTGGTAAAATTATACAGTGCAAGCTAGGATACCGGAATTTCAAATGAGGGTTACAAAATCTGACAGCGTGATGTTTGCAGTGCAACACAAGAGGAGACTGATAAGCTGTATAGACATCCTACAGACTTCACTTTCCCTGTCCTCGGACCACAATGGGAGGAAAGTATGGGAGTGATTACTGTCTAGGAATGTGTAGACCTGGTTTCTACTGGGGGAAGGGTATGACACAGGCATAGACGTAAGCAGTGTAATGTTAGTTTTTACGCAATAGCATGTTTATTGCAATGACAGGATCAGACACCTGTAGCAGGGGTCCAAAACACCTCATCCAGCCGAACAGATGTGATTGTAAAATGAGGGTTTCATGTAAAAAAAAGACACCTGACACTGACTAATGTTCACAAAGATGTTTTAGGCTTCAGGGAGGCGCCCACGAAACATTTAAAGTGTAGATGATAGTATGTTGTGATAGTGGTTGAAAGCTTTGAGCTTAAAGGTCTGTTATTGACCTTGACGATAGAGCTTTGACAGAAAATTGTCAACATACGGGTAATGTGACCTTCAGCAGTAAACTGAGCAAACTTAACGCCTTTTTCTTTTTTTCCTGAAGTGTAATCTATCCCCGTCAGTAGTTTTGGTCACACAAAACACATCGAGATTTGCTTTGCACTACAAAAACACATTCAAACCCCCAGAAACAGTAAAGTCTCTCCTCAGCTGTAAAAGGACAGTTGCAACAGTTCACTGACCACGTTGAGAAGTTTCATAGGGAACTAAAGTATTCTCAACAGCTGTCATGCACAGGAAGAATAAACTGAAGCATTTAATGTGCTATTAATATGTAATTATTGTTGAGTTATAGTGTGTTTATGACACTGAAACTGTTTGAATTAATCTATTGTAGTTCAACTAAAAAGGGAAAAATATCATTTTGTGGTGCCTTCAAGCAAACACTTTGCAAAACCAGCTTTTTTTTTATCACATGTAAAGAAATATCTAAAACTGTCCATAGCAGAAGTTTCAATAAACTCTTGACTTTCTCCTTTAGACCTTCGGACAATCATAATCACCACTGCTGACAATGGATGTGATGTTGCGTCGCTGTCCGTTCCTCGCCCGGGTGCCCCAGGCCTTCTTCCAGCAGACCAAAAAGTCTCTGGTGGGGTACGCCCAGCGATGCCCCATCATGATGGAGCTGGCATCTAAACCCATGGCTCCATCAATGGCACGGGCCCTCTGCTCCTCCTCTTCCTCTTCCCACCAGAAGACTGAGGACACCGTGTCTGCCAGTGAAGGTGAGGAAGATGCTCATATCAAGTGAAATATCCCAGTTAATGCAATTACTGACTGAATTATTGCTGTGTGATATTTTTTATTGGTTGTTGGTATTGATATATATATTAACTCTATAACTTCTTTTGTTCACTTTTAGGCCCCAAGCAGGAATCCAAGCTCCCTGCTGGCCACCCTATGCCACCCTCAGGCCAGACGGTGGCCTCTAAATGCCCCTTCCTGGCTGCTGAGATGGGCCAGAAGAACAGCAGCGTGGTCCGCCAGGTCGGCATGGAGTTCCAGGAGGATGTTCAGGAAGTCCGCACTGTCCAGAAAGGTAAGATTTGTTTAGATTTTGATTAGACTGCATTGTTTGTGGGCAATCATTTTGTACATGACTTAATACAAATGTTTTTTGGTCCTTTTTTTTTTTATAGAAGTGTCCCCTGCCCAGTTGAAGAAGGGAAGCGGAGATGAGCAAACTAATCTAATGAAGACCCTCTTGAAACAGCGACCTAAAAGGGTCTCCCACCTCCTGCAGGACAACTTGCCAGCCAGCAGTAGGTTTACTTTAAGCACTCCTACTACTAGTTCAAATGGTAGAGTCATTTAATTACTGATTAGCCTTTTAGAAGTCAGTATGTTTTGGTCTTTTTGAGCAAGGCGAGCTGAGACTTTCATCATGTTCGGACGTTGCTTCATCCATTACAATGCAAGCCACATTAAGCAAGCCTCGTCTTCCTCTTCTGCCACAGTGTCCCGCTTCCATTACGACGACTTCCTTGATAAGAAGATCGTAGAGAAGAAGAGCGACCACACATATCGTGTGTTTAAGACTGTGAATCGTCTGGCCAGCGAGTTCCCCATGGCGGACGATTTCACGGGCTCCTTAGAGGACAAGAGGGAGGTGTCCGTTTGGTGCAGCAACGACTACCTGGGCATGAGTCGACACCCACGGGTGGTGCAATCCATTATGTGAGTATTGAAGGAGTTGTTTGTGTGGGTGGTGTGATTCATTCTCTTGGGTCTACACACACCTGTAGTAACACAAATGTTTTTCTTGAATGTCTGCGACTCCTGTTGATGCTTAGAAACTTAGAAAACTTGAGACGCAGCACATAATAATTGAATATCCCCATGAGTGATCCAGTCCATTGTTTGTGTGGGTGTAGAGTGTTAGTTGGCCATAGTTTACACTTAAACCTCAGTGGGGCCCAGTGAAGTGGAATGTTTTTCTTGTTCTCTTTTCAGCTTGTTCGATCTTGCCCAGGTCTCTGATTCCCTGTAACACCTTGTAGCAGCGCGTCACTTACTTGCAACTCTCCAGCTTAATTATTTATTTTTCCATATGTTCATCTTGTTGTCTGTTTCCAGGGATACTTTACGAAAGCATGGCTCAGGGGCAGGAGGCACCAGGAACATCTCTGGGACCAGTAAGTTCCACGTGGAACTGGAACAAGAACTAGCTGACCTTCACAACAAGGACGCTGCACTGCTCTTCACCTCCTGCTTTGTCGCCAATGACTCCACCCTCTTCACCCTCGCCAAGATGCTGCCTGGTAAACACAAATGGCTATATATTTCTAACGATCCAACATTAGTTAGTCAGTAATTCATGTGTGACAGTCGTGCTTTAATTTAAGTCACTTTGACTCCCACCTAAACTCTCATTCTCACTTCCTCTCTCTTGTGACCTATTTTAGGTTGTGAGATCTACTCTGATGCAGGCAATCACGCCTCAATGATCCAGGGTATCAGGAACAGCGGTGCTAAGAAATTCATTTTCCGCCACAATGACGTCGGCCATCTCCGAGAGCTTCTACAGAAGGGAGACCCCACAAAACCAAAGATCGTGGCCTTTGAAACTGTCCATTCCATGGATGGTTAGTTTGGGATTATCCTGATTTTTTTTTTTTTTTTTAATTTTTAAAAGCATTTATAAAGCACATTTATTACACAGTTGCTCATTAAAAATGTATCTCATAAATTAGCATTAGCTCATTAGTTGTTAAAATCACCTTTTGTTTCTGTACTTTTGCTAACGGCTTTTCTTTCTATCCATCTTTCTGTAAAACAGGTGCTGTGTGTCCGCTGGAGGAGATGTGCGATGTGGCCCATGAGTTTGGTGCCATTACCTTCGTAGACGAGGTCCATGCTGTGGGCCTGTACGGCGCCCGAGGAGGGGGCATCGGAGACAGGGATGGTGTCATGCACAAGATGGATATCATCTCAGGGACACTAGGTCAGCATATATTTTGATCTCTACTAATGACGATATTCTACTTAGCATCTTGACTCTGAAGCCATGCCAAAGTGTTCTTGAGCCATTCCGTGAAGCATTTACAGTCTTTCCATTCATATTTTGCTGTATTTCTTTTGTGTATATTTTTTTATGGAACGACTCCCAGCTAGTGGGAATCTTGTAGCTCTGTTTTGTTGTTATACTCAGGATCTGGCCTCATCTGTGTCACTCAATATGCCTGAGGGCTTAAAGAAGCTGGAGCAGCTCTGTTGTTGCTAGGAGACTGTGGGCTCTCATTGCACCCTTATTGAATTACTGTGTCGCTGTCATGCTGAGGGGGCAATTATTTCTAACTCAGAGCTTTACAGCCTCTACCTGTGGTGCTGCCATTTCAGAAACTAGTTTGTGCGATTCACAGGGGTGGATTTAGCAAAGACCAGTGAGCGTAATGTAGTGACTGTAAACAAGATTTTTTGTTTAAAGAATACAAATTAAAGAATACCAACCTATGTGTCATATCCTCTTCCAGGGAAGGCCTTTGGCTGTGTGGGCGGCTACATCGCGAGTACCGCTGCTCTGGTGGACACGGTGCGCTCCTACGCTGCTGGTTTCATCTTCACAACCTCTCTGCCACCAATGCTGTTAGCCGGAGCCAGGCAGTCGATCCAGGTTCTTAAAAGCCAGGAGGGCCGCACACTGAGACGTAAACACCAGCGCAACGTCAAGCTACTCAGACAAATGCTGATGGACTCTGGGCTACCCGTGGTGCACTGCCCCAGCCACATCATCCCAGTCCGGGTAATTTATTATTTATTATCTAATGATATGAGTTATGATGCACATGATATAAACAGCCCCAATTAAAAGTGGTCCTTGGTTGGGGTGCCCAGATAGAGGCTGGTAGAGCTGGTGCCCCATGTACCAAGGCTGAGTCTTGCTGCAGCAGCCCTCAGCTCTTCAGCTCTCAATTAAAGGCAATAAAAGCCCCCCGCAATATAAAAAAACTATTTTAATTAAAAGAATAGTCCATAGCTCCACTCTAATGCCCACGTGTGTCTCTTTTATTATTTCTAGGTATCAGACGCTGAGAAAAACACAGAGGTGTGTGACATCATGATGAGTCGCCACAACATCTATGTGCAGGCCATCAACTATCCAACGGTTGCCAGGGGAGACGAGCTTTTGCGTATCGCCCCAACGCCTCACCACACTCCTGAGATGATGAAATACTTTGTTGGTAAGAAGAGCTAGTAGTATATTACACTTTAAGTTGAAGTTTATATGTTGGAGGTCAAATTTCCCCATCATTTGTACATTATCTGTGATTTATA